AGGATGTGGTGAGGCTGTGACACAGCTCTGGGCAACCAAAGGTGCCGCCTCCCACTTGCGCGTCCCTTCCGCGCCGCTCACCACTTCCTCTGACCGGCTCTCGTGTGTCAGACACCTCGTAAGGACGCATTTTCTGGGGCTTCTCTTATTTTTCTTGAGTTTTTGCGACTCCCTCCCAGGGGTTGCAGGAGCTGGTTTGGGAGCGTGGAGGGGGGAGTTCACCTCCCAGCCCAGGGTGGATCTCACTGAACCGCGTTGAAATGCTTTTTTGGTTTCTCCCAGCTTGTGTCGTGACCTGTGTTGCAACAGCAGGAGCTTGGATCTCTCTGCTCCCACACAGAAGAGGTTTCTGAGCCTGTTCCTGCAGGAGAAGCAGCGTTAGGAAACGTCAGGCCTGTTCTTAGCGGGATGAACTGAAGTGGTTTGGGTTTTCTTCCTTGCTGTAATTAAATAAGAAAACAAGAGGCCTTGGTTTAAATCTGTTTAATCTTTCTCCAGAGAAGAGATGCTGATTAGCACTATGCAGCATCTGTTAGGGACGGGCTGAACTGTGGCCGAGATAGTCTTGACCTTGAATTTGGGATCGTCTTGCCAACGTTAGAGGATACGAGTGGCCTGTTTGAACAGTGCTGTGGCTTCATATAAATTAAGCAGGGTTCTGCCTGGCGAAAGGGATTTATTTGCTTGCTTGCTTATAAAATTATGGAAACTCTTATTTGCCACATTAGGTAAGGCATCAGCCTCAGTTGCTTCCGACTACTTTATTTATTTCTCTGTCCGGCACGTGTCAAATAATATTTTTGGTACCTGCAGCTTTCTGCCTCGAGCTTCCATGGAAGAGCAGCTTTGACACAACTGATCCGAGGGGACGGCTGTGGGAGCAGAGGGGGTGTAATTAGCTGCAGGTAAACAGGGAGCTGTGCTGCTCCTCAGCATCCTTTCACATCTCAGCTTGCGTCTCGCCCTCTCGGAGCGAATTCTTTTGCACAGACTGAAAGAGGAAGACGAGCTTTCCGCGATCTTCCAGCTTTCAACCAGCCTTCGACTTGAAGTGAGCTGAACTGAAAAAAAAGACGTTTCTGGTCTGTCTGCACCTGCAGAAGGGGCTGGGGCTGCTCTCAGAGCTGCTGTTATTTCAGGATATTCTCTTTCCGGGCGCCTGAGCAACCACTTCTTCTTTTTCTTGTTCCCCTCCACCCTTTCGTGTCCTGTCTTTACGCCAGCGCACGCAGCTCCCGCTCAGATGGCGCTTTGGTTGGAGAACCTCTGGCAGCAGATCTGAGCTTTACTGTAGGTTGGCAGGACTTCACCTTTTAGGTAGGTAGCGTGGGGGAAAGCGGAGGTGAAAAACCTGATCCGGGTGAAAAACAGCTTAAATTTTTACCCTTCTTAACCACTGGGTGGGTTGGAGAGGAGCAGGTGGTGGAGTTTCTCCTTGTTTCCGCAGGGTTGGGGTCTCTCAGGGCGAATGACGGTGATCTTCCACGGGGAGGGAGGGCGATTACACCTCGGCGTCGTGTTTTGCCCCTTCTCTCGTACCTTTTCCCTGCGGGGCTGGTGCCCTCACCCTGCGTTGAGACCTCGCAGGGATGACTCTTTGTTCAAGCTGGGTCAGCTCGGCGAGCCGAGCCGCTGCTCTGCAAGGAGAAGGGGGAGGAAAGAAAGCTGGCGTCGCCTTCCCCCCCCTTCTCCGATGAGCCCAGATGGTATCCCAGATCTCTTCCTATGGGATTTAGACAAGGTTTCCTGTTGAGAGAGCTGCTCCTAATCGCTGCCCTTCTGTGCCGTGTTGCAGATCGCGAGCAGATGAGCGGAGGGAGGTTTCC